AACACCCAGTGGACTTCATCGACTTTGCCTGCCCTTGTGGCGTCACTAAGGGTTGTTTTACCTAATGCGGCTAGCACATGGGGCCACTCTGGTCTTTTTCCGAATACCCAAGCGGATTTCATCGACTCTGCCTGCTCTTGGGGCTAACTTTTCTGTTGGCAGCCTGGTCTGATAGAACCTTCTCTCGTAACAATCTAATCTAGTGGCACGTCGCTCTGGGTTCGTGGCAGCCTGCTCTGTCTCGTGACACCTTGCTCTTTCTCACAACACCCTGTTCTGTCTTTCGACACCTTGCTGTCTCGTGACACCTTGCTCTTTCTCACAAAGCCCTGTTCTGTGTTTCGACACCTTGCTGTCTCGTGACACCTTGCTCTTTCTCACAACACCCTGTGCTGTTTTTCGACACCTTGCTGTCTCGTGACACCTTGCTCTTTCTCACAACACCCTGTTCTGTGTTTCGACACCTTGCTGTCTCGCGACACCCTGCTCTGTCTTGTGTCACCCTTTTCTGTTTTGCGAAACCCTGCTCTGTATCATAGCACCCTGCCTTGTCTCGCGACACCCTGCTCTGTATCATAGCACCCTGCTCTGTATCATAGCACCCTGCCTTGTCTCGCGACACCCTGCTCTGTATCATAGCACCCTGCTCTGTATCATAGCACCCTGCTCTGTATCATAGCACCCTGCCTTGTCTCGTGTCAACCTTGCCCTTTTTTCTAAACACGTTGATCGAACATCGCCAAATATTCAGTTTTCCATTTGGGGGCCAGTTACCCCCTCCTCCCCCCCCCTTTTGGTGTCACCCATTGCGGTCTACACCCCCTACATGACGTTGACGCTTAAACTATTGTTTTTGATTATTTGAAAATGTTACCTGGCATTGTGTCTGATCGATAATAAGTTCGTATTAAATTGAAACTTAAGATTGGGAGATCAATCGATCTTTGGCTGCACAAGCATTCGGCTATGTTGATGGACGGCCAATTCAAAGCTGGCGCCAAAAGTTTGTCGAAGCGCACTTTTGAGTGTCGTCTTCAGAAGAATAGTTCTTGTCATTATTCCGCACTGGTGAAAGTTTTGTCAAGAAGGAGACTGTCTGTCTTGTGAGGGGATGTCATCCATGAGGCTGAAAGTTTTGTCAAAAAGGAGACTGTCTTGTGAGGGGATGTCATCCATAAGGCTGAAAGTTTTGTCAAAAAGGAGACTGTCTTGTGAGGGGATGTCATCCATAAGGCTGAAATTTTTGTCAAGAAGGAGACTGTCTTGTGAGGGGATGTCATCCATAAGGCTGAAAGTTTTGATTTACGAGTGATGTAAATTTACGCCACACCAGACCAGGGAGGCGATGGCCTCACTTTATTTGAAGCCCACGCAAAGCGTACATGAGCGATTATGATCATAGCTACTATTTTTCTATTACTAAGTGTTTAATCATAATCGTACTTTAAAAGTTCTGTGGTCTCAATGTATGAATTTAATCAAATTATTGCTGCATTAATAAAAGTAGAAAACTTTTTTTTTATAATACCAAACTTTTAATTAAATATAACAATATCGTATTATTGTGTTATTATCCTCCTTACAGAACTGTGCCAGATATTGTTTTCAATAAAAAAAATTGAGGGTGGTTGAGGGGGTGAAACAGGGAAGGGGGGGGGCACTAGGGATTAGTTGATGGTGCCAAAGGGGCTGTGGCCGTAAAAGTTTGAGAACCGCTGCCCTTGGTGAATCAACTACTTAAATATATAGTGGGGTTTTATTCAGAGGACTATTCCTCACCGTTAGTTCTGTATAACGGTACTGTTTATAATGTGAGTGCTGCATTTGATTTGAGACGACCACACACAGGTGGCCGGACAAACTAAAGTACTGTGAATAAAATAGGCCAATTTCAATACTTTTAAACCGTAATAGCGATTGGAGCTTTTTTTCTTGTGGGGGACAAAAGTGGTTGCAGTACAGTAATAGGATTGTTGACAGGATAAAAGGACAGAAATGCGGGATGATTACCATTAGTTGTTGCACAGGCATCGGATGAAACGGGTATCGGTTGCACAGGTATCGGCTGACACGGGTATCGGTTGCACAGGCATCGTATGACACGAGTATCGGTTGCACAGGCATCGTATGACACGGGTATCGGTAGCACAGGCATCGGGTGACACGGGTATCGGTAGCACAGGTATCGGCTGACACGGGTATCGGTTGCACAGACATTGTATGACACGGGTATCGGTTGCACAGGTATCGGCTGACACGGGTATCGGTTGCACAGGCATCGTATGACACGAGTATCGGTTGCACAGGCATCGTATGACACGGGTATCGGTTGTACAGGCATCGTATGACACGGGTATCGGTAGCACAGGCATCGGGTGACACGGGTATCGGTAGCACAATCATCGGCTTAATTGGGTATTGGTAGCACAGACATCGTATGACACGGGTATCGGTAGCACAGACATCGTATGACACGAGTATCGGTTGCACAGGCATCGGGTGACACGGGTTTCGCTTGCACAGGTATCGGATGAAAAGGGTATCGGTTGCACAGGTATCGGTGGCACAAGTGTAGGGGGAGGAGCTTGTTTCATAAGGACGATGGAATGTTATGAGTGCCCCCCCCCCCCCAACCTTTAATGAGTTTTTCAAATGTAGAGATAAATGAAAAACTTTTAAGATCTAGAACTAATTATGAGAGCGTTGGACTGCGATGAAGCTGTCATGCAGATTAATGAAACGCAGACGAGTTGGGTAAATGAAACAATATAGTTTAAGCTTTATAAATGGCCGCTCAGAATACACATGCAACATAGAGGGCGGGGGTGGGGGGGGGCTTCGTCTGGACAGGGGGGTGAACCGTGACCCACGCCAGACTTACCGCTTTGCTTAATCTGGACAGGGGTACACACTGGCCTGCTACACCGGGATGACGTCACCGCAAGGTACTCGGCACTCGTGATCTTTTATTCTCAACGTTTAAAAAAATAAAATAAACAGAATCCAGACCATAATTTTACGAGAAATAAATATTTATTGAGAGATCCATCAAGAGAAATGGCACACTATAACTTCGGACAAGGAAACGCCTGCCATCTTTTCAAGGGACGCTTCGAAAATACCCAGGTGACATTCTTTGATGAAGAGTAAACTCTATGGTGAGGCCGTCTTACATGGGTTGACGTACTTTCTAACACCTTGCGTCATGTAAGGCAACAGCGGAACCCTGGGTTAAGGGAAAAAATAATAAAAAATACAATAAAAAAATGTTACGATGCAATGTCAATCTATGCGAGTCACAGCATATAAATATGTATATGTTACACTTCAGCGATATGACGCGTCATTCCCATATATTTTGTGGTTGGTATATTTGGGGCAATGTTTTCAGTTAGGTGGGATTTCTTTATTGAAAGTGTTTTAACAAGTAAGCAATGTGAGTAGCTTATGCTCTTAACTTCTTATCTCCTCTAGAGTTTAATAAAGGGCATTAACAGAAAAATATGTGTTTCTCTTTTTTTTAAACCAGTTATCTTCCTTGACCAAAAACAAAACAAAAAAACAACCTTGCAGAATGTGGAAGCAGTTGTGAATTAGTTTTGTAAAATGGAAGTTGTTCTTTTTTGGGGCTTTTTTTTTGGGGGGGGGGGGTTTTTAATGAAGGTTTTGTGGTTGTAATCTTTGAATTATTTCTTGTTGCACCACTGTCACTGACACCTTCTCCAAGGAGAAAATCTCGCCTTTGCATGTTCAAATCTATACGTGTTACTCAAAAGACGGAGTATTATTTTTTCAGAAACGCATAGTCTAGGCCGAAATGGGCATATTATCTATTTCTAAAAAAATAATAATTTGAAATGTTGTCAAACTTTTTTTAAAATGTCACATCACTTAAACGTTAAGTACTCACTTTTGTCAATGTTAAAACAATAGTCCAGATTTACTCTGGTCAATGTTAAAACAATATTCAAGATTTACTCTGGTCAATGTCAAAACAATATTCCAGATTTACTCTGGTCAATGTAAAAACAATATTCCAGATTTACTCTGGTTAATATTAAAACAATATTCCAGATTTACTCTGGTCAATGTTAAAACAATATACAAGATTTACTCTGGTCAATGTTAAAACAATATTCAAGATTTACTCTGGTCAATGTCAAAACAATATTCCAGATTTACTCTGGTTAATATTAAAACAATATTCCAGATTTACTCTGGTCAATGTTAAAACAATATTCCAGATTTACTCTGGTTAATATTTAAACAATATTCCAGATTAACTCTGGTCAATATTAAAACTATATTCCAGATTTACTCTGGTTAATATTAAAACAATATTCCATATTTTCTCTGGTTAATATTAAAACAATATTCCAGATTTACTCTGGTCAATATTAAAACAATATTCCAGAGTTACTCTGGTAAATATTAAAACAATATTCCAGATTTATTCTGGTCCATGTTAAAACAATATTCCAGATTTACTCTGGTCAATGTTCAAACTATATTCCAGATTTACTCTGGTCAATGTTAAAACTATATTCCAGATTTACTCTGGTTAATATTAAAACAATATTCCAGATTTACTCTGGTCAATATTAAAACAATATTCCAGATTTACTCTGGATAATATTAAAACAATATTCCAGATTTAATCTGGTCAATATTAAAACAATATTCCAGATTTACTCTGGTCAATATTAAAACATTAATCCAGATTTACTCTGGTTAATATTAAAACAATATTCCAGATTTAATCTGGTCAATATTTAAACAATATTCCAGATACTCTGGTTAATATTAAATTATTAAAAATTGATAAATGAAGGACTGCGTTCAAGCTGTGTGAATGTTTAGTATTTACTCTGGTCAATGTTAAAACAATGTGATAGACTTACACTTGTAAATATTAAAACAATGTCTTAGACTTACTCTGGTCAATATGAAAACAATACTCAAGACTTACTCTGGTCAATAGTAAAAACCATGTCTTAGACTTACTCTGGTCCATATTTCCTCATGATGTAGGGGATGCGATACCTGCTCTCCAGGGACTGTTCATTTAACACAAGGAAATTCTCGGAGTCACAAGTCCAGACCGATGAGTAGAAAGGGATCACCTGTAACGACGTAACAGAGATTATGCTGTACGCTGTAACATAAAGTGACCTCGCTTATCACTGTTCAATTAATAAGACATACACATTTTGTGTAAATTTAAAACCATTTATAATAGTATAAATTAAATTTACATTCTATACATGTATCCCGCCTAAAAATTACATAACGGAATAAGGAAGTAAGTTGAAGTAAAATGTAAAAACCAAACAGGGAGAAGACAGGGCAGCTGTGTAAAATTGTGAATTTAATTATACCGTATCTGGTTAACGTACCAAATTTTGTTACTAATTCATTTTCCTAATTAATTTCATCTGGTGTAATACTTGCATAAAATATACCAGCAACTGCAATGCCTAATATTCCATTGTGGTTCGCAATATTGAAATGTTTGAAAACTGGACAAATGTTGTTTTTTTCAATTGTGCTATACAACGGTCTCCAATGCGACGACCTGTCTCTCCTTCGTATGATTTATCCCTGTTCAGCCTAATTTGATGAAGTTCAATTTTTTTCAAAGTCTTCACTTGCATTTATGATGAAATAACCGTTAGCCCCTTCATTAATGTTGGTCACAGTGGTTAAAAGATCAGGAGGGTTAAAGGTCATTGTGATTAAAAGGTCAATGGGATTAAAGGGTCATGCAGGGTTATCATATATTTGTCAAAGGAGTGTTGAGGGACTAGGCTTTTGCTGCTCACTTTCCTCTGGTCATCACTCATGACATTTGTGTTTAATATTGACCGAAACCCATCAAGACGAACAAACAATTTTTATAACTTCTGCAAAAGAAAAATACATCGCTCTCCCCACACCTACCGAAAAACCCGAATTAAAATGATAAGAATAGGCAATTGCCTACAGTCTAGGCAACCATTTAGCCTTAAAATACCGAAAACAAAGGAGCTCAAAACTATCTAAAGTGTATGATGCCTCCATCATGCTTCCGCCCCCCCCCCCCGCTGAATTAAGGCCGCCTCGGCCTCCCTCCCCCCCCCCCCCCCCACCGAAAAACCCGAATTAAAATGATAAGAAAAGGCAATTGCCTACAGTCTAGGCAACCATTTAGCCTTAAAAACCCGAAAACAAAGGGGCCCAAAACTATCTAAAGTGTATGATGCCTCCACCATGCTTCCGCCCCCCCCCCCCGGTGAATTGAGTGCGGCATGGCTACCAGTCCCCACCCTACCCCCAAGTTTATCCTACGTTAAGGTTCTATCATCACAAACTCTTTCATTAGTTCAAAAAAAGAAAGCTTTTCATTAATTCAAACATACATATGGTCCTATCAACACACGCTTTTCATTAATTCAAACAAGAATATGGCTCTATCAATATAAGCTATTTCATTAACTTAGACACACCTTTGGTCCTATCATCACAAGTGTACGCTGTTACAAACACACATATGGTCCTATCAACACACGCTTTTCATTAATTCAAACATCAATATGGCTCTATCAATATAAGCTCTTTCATTAACTTAGACACACCTTTGGTCCTATCATCACAAGTGTACGCTGTTACAAACACACATATGGTCCTATCAACACACGCTTTCATTAATTCAAACATCAATGTGGTTCTATCAATATAAGCTCTTTCATTAACTTAGACACACCTTTGGTCCTATCATCACAAGTGTACGCTGTTACAAAAACACATATGGTCCTATCAACACCCGCTTTTCATTAATTCAAACATCAATATGGTTCTATCAATATAAGCTCTTTCATCAACTTAGACACACATTTGGTCCTATCATCACAAGTGTACGTTGTTACAAACACACATATGGTCCTATCAACACACGCTTTTCATTAATTCAAACATCAATATGGTTCTATCAATATAAGCTCTTTCATTAACTTAGACACACCTTTGGTCCTATCATCACAAGTGTACGCTGTTACAAACACACATATGGTCCTATCAACACACGCTTTTCATTAATTCAAACATCAATATGGTTCTATCAATATAAGCTCTTTCATTAACTTAGACACACCTTTGGTCCTATCATCACAAGTGTACGCTGTTACAAACACACATATGGTCCTATCAACACACGCTTTTCATTAATTCAAACATCAATATGGTTCTATCAATATAAGCTCTTTCATTAACTTAGACACACCTTTGGTCCTATCATCACAAGTGTACGCTGTTACAAACACACATATGGTCCTATCAACACACGCTTTTCATTAATTCAAACATCAATATGGTTCTATCAATATAAGCTCTTTCATTAACTTAGACACACCTTTGGTCCTATCATCACAAGTGTACGCTGTTACAAACACACATATGGTCCTATCAACACACGCTTTTCATTAATTCAAACATCAATATGGTTCTATCAATATAAGCTCTTTCATTAACTTAGACACACCTTTGGTCCTATCATCACAAGTGTACGCTGTTACAAACACACATATGGTCCTATCAACACACGCTTTTCATTAATTCAAACATCAATATGGTTCTATCAATATAAGCTCTTTCATTAACTTAGACACACCTTTGGTCCTATCATCACAAGTGTACGTTGTTACAAACACACATATGGTCCTATCAACACACGCTTTTCATTAATTCAAACATCAATATGGTTCTATCAATATAAGCTCTTTCATTAACTTAGACACACCTTTGGTCCTATCATCACAAGTGTACGCTGTTACAAACACACATATTGTCCTATCAACACACGCTTTTCATTAATTCAAACATCAATTTGGTTCTATCAATATAAGCTGTTTCATTAACTTAGACACACCTTTGGTCCTATCATCACAAGTATACGCTGTTACAAACACACATATGGTCCTATCAACACACGCTTTTCATTAATTCAAACATCAATATGGTTCTATCAATATAAGCTCTTTCATTAACTTAGACACACCTTTGGTCCTATCATCACAAGTGTACGTTGTTACAAACACACATATGGTCCTATCAACACACGCTTTTCATTAATTCAAACATCAATATGGTTCTATCAATATAAGCTCTTTCATTAACTTAGACACACCTTTGGTCCTATCATCACAAGTGTACGCTGTTACAAACACACATATTGTCCTATCAACACACGCTTTTCATTAATTCAAACATCAATTTGCCTCTATCAATCTAAGCTCTTTCATTAATTTAGATACACCTTTGGTCCTATCATCACAAGTATACGCTGTTACAAACACACATATGGTCCTATCAACACACGCTTTTCATTAATTCAAACATCAATATGGTTCTATCAATATAAGCTCTTTCATTAACTTAGACACACCTTTGGTCCTATCATCACAAGTGTACGCTGTTACAAACACACATATGGTCCTATCAACACACGCTTTTCATTAATTCAAACATCAATATGGTTCTATCAATATAAGCTCTTTCATTAACTTAGACACACCTTTGGTCCTATCATCACAAGTATACGCTGTTACAAACACACATATGGTCCTATCAACACACGCTTTTCATTAATTCAAACATCAATATGGTTCTATCAATATAAGCTCTTTCATTAACTTAGACACACCTTTGGTCCTATCATCACAAGTATACGCTGTTACAAACACACATATGGTCCTATCAACACACGCTTTTCATTAATTCAAACATCAATATGGTTCTATCAATATAAGCTCTTTCATTAACTTAGACACACCTTTGGTCCTATCATCACAAGTGTACGCTGTTACAAACACACATTTGACTTAATGAAACCACGCAAAACAAAACAAAAAAACAAAAAAATACCCATTCACCCGACCCTGGGCACAAATTTTAGCAAATATTTTTATTATTTTTAAATGTGACCATGAAATCCCTCCAGTCGACTCTACTATGATCTTTCTAATCGTATATTCTGGTCAGATAAATTAACAACACCAGCCTTTTATTTTTAATATCTTCGGCATTGGTAAGCTATCCAAACTCACCCCTTCATCGCTGATGGTACAATCTGGCCAGGTACCAAAGTAGGTATTGCGGCTAACAGGTCTGTAGGTTAGAGCACAGTCAGGGTCAAAGGAAAAAGCGTTTAGTGGAAGCGATTCTAGGCTTGCCACGTCCAGGTCTTTAGCTCTGGAAAAAAAAGTGTTGTCCTTTTATAAATAATACATTTAAGTTCAAGGAATGACGAGTATTCAGTGACCTCTTTGAGTTCCTTTTCACCCGTCGTCTTAATTCATTTAATAGATATAATCTAATGTTTCTTGAAATGTGATAACAGAATCTGAAAAAAAAAAAAACTAGGAATGCTTCATTTTATTATTTTTATTAAACTAATGAACTAATGTTAAGAAAGACAACCTTTGTAACAACTTTGAATTGATTTGCAATTAAATGGCTTCTTTAACACTTTTATAGCACACAAAATAAATTAATTGTCAGATAGAAAGGCAACTTTTGGAACAACTTGGCGTTTTCATTAAAAATTATTGTCTTTATTTTTTTTTTAAATTCTTTACGAACACTATTTCTAACAAGATTTATTTTCTTTCTTTTTACGTGCATTCATCGTGTTTGTTTTTAAACATATTATTATTAGCAATTTCTTCAGCGATGAGATTCGGGTACTCACAGTACTAGAAAACACACGACTGTGATAAGACTTACTGTACTAGAAAAGACACAACTTGGGATATGACATTGATTCTGAACATAAAAATGACTTACACGTCATTTCCGGTGATGTTGTACGGTCTGATGGTGATGATCTTGTCAGCATTTTCCGATACGACGAAAATGTGGCGACGGAAACGAGTCCCGCTGACCGTTTCCTCGTACAAGAAGGCAAAATCCTGGTGATGGGAGACGTCGGTTAGTGCATGGAGGACAAATAAAACAATTTGCAGTGTTCATAAGCGTTGCTATATTAATAGCGTTAGTAGCTTTAGCAAATGTTTCAATCTCAATGGCACCCACCGTTTCTATTGTCGTGGCGGTGGTGGTGGGTGTTTGTAGTAGTAGTAGCAATAGAAGTAATAGTTGTTTTTTATATTAGTATTTTAAACAGTATTAGTTTTAGCAATAGATATTGCTGAAGCTGACGTAAATCCTTGTAAAGGCAGATCTTAATTTGAAATGGAACTCACCGGGTCGAAAGCCGGGATTCGAACCGGGATGACGAGCTCTGTCAGGTTTTCTAGTTCACCTGCGGGCAGTAGTTTCTCCGATTCCAAAATCTCCTCGACGTACCTGCCACTTATCACGCTCATGAAGTTCAACAAGTTCTTGGACGGGGCTGGGGAAGACAGTTATCTACCGTATTATGAAAACTCGGCGCGGCTCACTGGTCACGATGCATGTTAATGGGTCACTTTATAAAAAAGAAAACCAAACAGTGGACCACGACTTCTTTGCACAAGGTCATTCATCCTGACCTATACATGATTCCTGTAAAGTTTGTTTATCTGCTGTATCTCTTATATATATTTTTCAACCGATTTCATTGGCACGGCTTTGAAAGTTTCACTTGACTATCTGATCAATGTTTCAGCGTCCCTATCGTGGTGACAATTGAAACCTCCCATTGTAGAACGGGTCTTGATTTAACTTTAATTTTGTTTTAAACGTCTAAAGTTACTGCATTTTGTTTTAATTGTTTTAGCATTGAAATAATCATTGCATATCAGCCATTTTGAGAAGTTGTTTGAATGTTCAAATAATATTCTAATTTTTTAGCAGGTTCTATATTGTTCTGCGTAGATATAAAGATTGTGGCAATGTCATTGGGATCTGAGCGTTAGTGAACATTTTAGTTTAGCTTTATATAATACACAATAGACTTATTAGTTCTATACTTTCCTTGGAATTTCCTCGCTATTACATTTTTAAAAAAAAAAAATTCTTGAAGAATCTAGGAAAATTTATTGGGTTGCGTTCAAGCCTTGTTAAGTATACATACGTAGAGCAATAAGATATTTTGCGGCTTAACAAAGCAAAGAAGAAAACTTTGAAGGACGTTTCGCCCAGATGTCTTCTTTAGTGAAAATTCAACACAAGAATAAAGAACTATTAGAATTTTTTTTTTTAAAGTAAGTGTTCTCAGTTCACATATGTCTCAGTCTATGTGTAGAAAAAAAGGTGCACTATAAAGAAATAACCCCTTAACACAAACGTTTTTCGTATAAATCATTTATCAAATGTAATATCGAGTTAAGAGTGGATGGGGCTGAAAATTTGACAAAACGTGCAAACAAGTAGCGCACTTTATAAGAATCCCAATTAGTGCCCCCCCCCCAACCCAACTCTCAAAACTGCACATTTTTTCAGCCCCTGAACTACGTTAATATTCGAATGACCCGCCAGCTTTTACACCAGCTATTTCAACAACTGTTTCAGAAAAACAAAAGAAATATTACGCAGCAAAAGCACTTGCGATATTTCCTTTAAAATAATCTTATTTATCGCAGTTATCAGGAATTTCTTTTATCTTACCCTTGCAAAGAGGGGAAAAGACTGATTTTTTTGAGGGTTTAGGTTAGGGTGGTGAGGCTAGCAGTTTGAGAGAATGTGTTGCTATCTGTAACGAGTCTGTGCGAATTTTAAGCTAGATAGCTTGACAGAAAGTGGGCTAATTAGTCGTCCGAAGATTTTTCCACCCAGCCTGTAATGCCAACCAGCCAGCCATCCACAAACAAATGTGAAGTTAGTACAAAGGATTTAAACATGTGTTTAGTTCAAATCTCATTTTTTTCTTAAAACGAGATTAAAAAAAAAATCAATACGTGTATTGCTGGTTTTTTTTTATGACATGTTTGAGTAACGAAACTAGGGTAATTTCAGAATGAGATCTGGAGCGGAGGAAGTCAATCGTTTCATTTGTCCTTTCTGAAAAGTCTTCACCTGACTGGTAATGTCGACGTACAAGTTGAGGAAAAGCTATGGAGTCGCTGCTCTATTTTGGGTTTGGAGGATGAATATAAAAAGTAGCTATGGCTGTCAGTTTTGTTTGTAGTGGGAGGAGGAATACAATAAGGAACTATGGCTGTCCGTTGGTTTGTAGCATGCTGACGTCAATGCTCCGTTTTCTTTTAATGTAAGGATTAAGTCCAGAAAGCTTACAGAATTCTCAGAGATGTGTGAAGTAAATTTAGTAGATGGTTTGAATAAGTTGAGAAAGTTTTTGGAGTTCCTTGTTCCCATGGTAATGATGCCAATGACGTCATCGTTGTTTTTTCTTTCATTTTAAAAAAAAAATGATTGATATACCCCCAGTTTATATGCCTTCCCTAACATGTATTCAAAGGGCCCCATAACAGGCAAACATAACTATAGGGTGCTCTATTCTAGGTCGTGTTACAATCAAATAACCATTCAGAATTAATCTATAGCTGTAGTGTCTTGTCTACCTTAATCTAGAATGTTTAGGTCTTTAAAAGTGTTTTTTGATTATATAATCATAATATGTTATGAGATCAAAATATTTATTATTCATTTCTAGAATGTTCGAAATGCATTTAGAAGGTTCTCCGATTAATGTTCCTTAAAAAAGCCACATCTCTACTAGAAGACTTAAGGTTACAATGCCAGCATCTCCATGACTTATTGCATCTAGGCCAAACTTGGTAAGCATACTTTTCAAAATTCCTTTTAAAATATCGGGGGATTCCAAACGAATAATAGTTTTGTGCGGGGGAGGGATGGGTGCCCAATTTTTATTTCAAATTTAAACCGTCTACCCTTTTGCGCTTTTCAACCGATTTTAAAAAGTCAGTTTCCTTTGAGGTTAGGCTGACATGTTTCAATCGCGTGGTTGGAGTACTTATGTCTAAACACCCTGGAGTAGCCAATTTGTGCTATTCGCAAAGAATTTTTGTACCAGTGGCTCTTTTTTTTAAGCTATGTTGATTGTCAAAAAGAGCATGAAAACATTCAGAGTAACTTTTCCGTAACTTTGAAAAATTTTCCTAGATCATTAAGCTGTATTGGGTGGGTTTTTTTTTTTTTAATTGTTTATTTTTAACCCTTAAACATTTAAGTGAACAAGATAGTAGTCAATCAGTGACATGATGAAGACATCAGACAGCATGCCGTCGGGAAAATCAACAGATTAAACACAAGATTTCTTCGAAAAATTCATTTGGGGGGACTCTGACACAAAGACTTTTAGAAAAATCTGACATAAATACATTGAGAAAATTCTGACACACACACATTTAGAATACAATGAACGGCTGTCTTTAAACAAAAAAAATCAATCAATCAACTCACCCGACGAAGCCACAGGGTTGGCTGGTAGTGTTACCAAAGCTAAGACGACCAGGGCTAGGTGGTGACACTTGACCATTGCCATGATTGCAAACGTGCTGAGTTCGGTGCTTGTTTGTTTGTATGTGGCACTTTACTCCCAAATATAAAGGTTTTGAAAAACTGAAATTTGTACAAGGTCATCATGTCTGAATGTTCAACTGACTTTGCATCTGTTTGAAGAGATCGTTTCTAGTCGTATAATACATGTCAAATTAGTCCAGCACCCACATCATACCCCACGCTGTGCTACTCAAATATGCAAAATTCAATCTAGTTAACGCAAATACCCATTCATCAGCTTCACACACCGTAGGTCGTGTTTGTTACACCACGCATAATATGAGAAGACAAATGAGATATTTATGAAGCAGTTTTTTGTAAAGGTTTTGTCATATTTACATTTTAAAGATGATATCAAGCGCACGGCGCGCAATATATTCGGTTTCTAGTTTTGGTTTAACGTTTTCAACATGAGAGGAATATCATTATCCGCAGCTGTTGGAGGTGTGTGAGAGCACAGGAAGGTGGGCGTAGGTTGGGGGGGGGGGTTAATGTATACAGGCGTATGGATCGTAGAGTTCGACCGAAAGTGATTTTCTGATTTCGGTCGAAACCGAAACGAGGCCGAAAGTTTAAAAAATTACTTTCGGCCGAAAACCCCCACCCCGACGTCTTCACCGACAAATTAGATCTAATTATTGTTTCTCCTGATGTCAACCCCTGAGAATCTGACCCTGACCTTTGCACCGGCTACTCACCACCGTGAGTCGTAAGTCAATATACAGGCGTATGGATCGTAGAGTTCGACCGAAAGTGATTTTCTGATTTCGGTCGAAACCGAAACGAGGCCGAAAGTTTAAAAAATTACTTTCGGCCGAAACCGAAAGTAAACCGGCACTTAACTTTTCAGTTTCGGCCGAAACCGATACTAAACCGAAATTTAACTTTTCAGTTTCGGCCCAAACCAAAACTAGGCCGCAAGTGATAAAATTGCAATTTTCGGTGCCGAAACCGAAGCCGACATTCGGTCGGTCTCTAATGCATGGATGTGAATGTATGGATGTGAAATTTTTGAGCTAAATGAATAGAGGTTAACGTGCGGAGCTAAATGTATAGAGGTGAATGTTTGTATGTGAATGTATGAATTCATTGTTGATATTTAAATGTAGGAAGGTTGACGTCTCGGTGCGATGTGGCAAGAATAATTATAAATTAATTTGGAGCAACCTTCTTCAGAAGCTAGAATTATTGGTTTGTGTTGCAGTCTTCCAACATATTCCATTTTTTTAGTATGAAATATAGAGTTCAGTAATAAGAGTCTATCTCTTATGCCCGAGGTGCAGCGTGGAAAATTATCATGCCAAAGTACAAAGTGGAAACTAATCGTGCCAAGGTACAAAGTGATAATATGTTATCTTTTGAATGTACAAAGTGGAAACGTAGCCTGACGAGTTAGAAAGTGGAAACTTATCTTGCCAACGTACACAGTGGAAACTTATCACGCCAATGTACAGAGTGGAAACTTATCATGCCAAGTTGCAAAGTGGAAAGTGATCATGCCAAGGTGCAAAGTGGAAATTTATCATGCCAAGGTACCAAGTGGAAAGTGATCATGCCAAGGTGCAAAGTGGAAAGTGATCATGCCAAGGTACCAAGTGGAAACTTATGAAGGTATACAGGGGGAAAAGCGTGGTGTATCGACATATTTCTTAATTTTTAAAACTGGCGTATAATTAGACATCGTGAAAACCTGGGGGGACGTAAAGAAAAAAATGGGGATACAATAAACATGAAATCATTTCTCCCTCGATGGTAAGGTAGGGTTACACAGGCAAAAATACAACCTATTTAGCATTTACCAATTGTTGGCTGTTGTTTTGTCAAGCTAATCATTGTTGTTGTTTTTTTTGTTCAATGACTACAAAGCGGTAAATAGACTTTAAAACTTCTTTTAACCGATTAAACGACCCCCCCCCACACACACACACTCAAAAAAAAATAGACCTACAAACTCACATTTAAAGTCCAAAAGCGATTTATTATATTTAGTACTAGTGTGTGCACTTGTGTGTGTGTGGGTGGGGGGTGGGGGTTAGTGTGTTTGGGTATGTGTGTTTGAACTTCCATAATAAACAACCCCTTCCAGCCGAACAAAATCAACCTTGTACACTAAGCGTGTTACTCTAAGTGTGTTACTCTAAGTGTGTTACTCTAAGTGTGTTACTCTAAGTGTGTTACACTAAGTGTGTTACTCTAAGTGTGTTACACTAAGCGTGTTACACTAAGCGTGTACACTAAGCGTGTTACACTAAGCGTGTTACACTAAGCGTGTTACACTAAGCGTGTTACACTAAGTGTGTTACTCTAAGTGTGTTACACTAAGCGTGTTACACTAAGTGTGTGTCACAAAAGTTTCGTAACATAAAGTTGTTTGTTTTTTTTGTTGGTTTTTTTGTTGTTTTTTTAACTTGTCTTCCTGACACTTAAACTCTTCAAGGATTACATGTTTTTGTTGTTTTGTTTAACTTGTCTTCCTGACACTTAAACTCTTCAAGGATTACATGTTTTTGTTGTTTTGTTTAACTTGTCTTCCTGACACTTAAACTCTTCAAGGATTACATGTTTTTGTTGTTTTGTTTAACTTGTCTTCCTGACACTTAAACTCTTCAAGGATTACATGTTTTTGTTGTTTTGTTTAACTTGTTTTCCTGACACTTAAACTCTTCAAGGATTACATGTTTTTGTTGTTTTGTTTAACTTGTCTTCCTGACACTTAAACTCTTCAAGGATTACATGTTTTTGTTGTTTTGTTTAACTTGTCTTCCTGACACTTAAACTCTTCAAGGATTACATGTTTTTGGGGTTTTGATTTTTTTCTTAAAGTCTGAATTTATTTTAAACTGGCTTCACTGGATGGGAATGGGAATTAAGTGCTTAGATACCTAGGGGCTTGAAGTTTAAACAGCTTTATGGCGAGTCAAAACCTGCCTGTCAAAAATATCACAAAAACACTCTAATAATGATTAGCAACATTATCAAAAAAAAATTTGTGTCAGTTAGAGTGCCACCTTCTTGTTGACCCGTTGAGATAAAAGCTGTCTTAAACGACGGTTCTTAAAACTACGTTCTGGGAAACCCTTGGATTAAGACGCAAGACCATGATTGTGCAACGGTCAACAACTGATATTTTAAAATATTATAATTTTCCCTTTTTGAAAAAAAAAGCTTCTTTTTTTTTAACATTTCTTCTAAGACGCCACACACACAATGCCAAACGACCACAGCGCTCCCTGGTCTGAAAGACATAAGAAACCCTTGTGTGATATCCCAAGTACAAAAAATATGCAAGAAACCTTTAGTGCCCTTCTCCGTGTTATCTAACAACCGACTGACTCCACCATCCCCCCCCTTCCTTCCTTTCCTGCACAAACTATTTTCTACACATTTCATACCCTTCCCCCCCCCCCCCCCCCAAATTGTGTAGCAAAAATTAAGTTTTCTGACCTTGTTCATTCATAATCTTTATCCTTATCCTCAAATATATACATTTTTTTTTTTTTACATCATTGTAAAACCAAAGTTTGATCACTCCAGTAGTTTGTCCAGAAATTCGAGAGACAGGTTATCACTGTTGATATCGGCACAGGTTAGTTTGAATAATCCAACAACTTTTTAAGTTAAATATTGTGTCTGGGAAATTGTTTTAAATTTAAGCTAAACATTACAAATATAACAATTTAAAAAAAGAAAATTGTTTTTTTTAAACATTACTCATCAATTTACGTCAAAAAACGAAAAAAATTACTGGTATTTTTTTTTTTGTTCTCTTCATTTGATTTTAAGTCATATCTCAAGTTGCGTTAATGATTGAACGTTTGATTAAACTTAAATAGTGACAGAAATGTTGTTGTATTTAGGAAACGATTTTTGTTTTCTGCTTTAATCGTGAATTCGCAGTGTTTAAAACAAAATCGATAGGCAGGGGGAATATAGTAGTACAGGTAATGTATAGGTACTGAAGAGGTACTGAATAGCTACTGAATAGGTACTGAATAGCTACTGAATAGCTACTGAATAGGTACTGAATAGAGGCTTGGCGTTCTAAGGAATTACGTTACACGCGGAAATAACGCTAAAAATTTTGAAACTTTAAAAGATAAACTTTTAATATGATGCATTTTTAAGCTCAACACTGACAATAAATTTATAAATTTTTCAGGGGACGGCTAAACATAGACAAGAAAAATGTGGAGTTCAGTCTCGGTTACATTTCTGTCTCTGGCGTTAGTCGCCTCCTGTCAAGCATCGTTTCTCATGACCGTCATGCCATACAAGGTCGAGATGGGGATCACTGAGAACGTGACCATCCTGTGCAGCTACTGGGGCCAGTCGTCGTTCAGCTCTCTCGAGAAGATCAGCATGATCCGCATCCTGCACCAGCGCGACGCCGAGCCGTTCACCGTCGTCGCCGAGGTGAGGGACAACGAGAACACGGCCCACGCCGTCAGCCTGGACAGCTCCGTGGCCGTGAAGGGTCACATCGGGACCGTGGCCGGATCCCGCATCGAGCTCACCTGGCCCCTGGCGACGTCCAGCGTGTTCGGGCGCTATCGCTGCGACGTGATCGGGTTCGACAGCAGCCAGGACGTCATCACGGAGAAGTCGCCCATCATCAACATCACGGAGACGGCCGTGACGGCCACCGACGTCTTGGAGCTGGTCATCAAGGAGCGGCAGGATCTCCAGAATTACTGCGATGCCAAAGTTCTGGCGTCCGAGAACAAATTTGCGGCTCTGTTGAACAACCTGAAAGCTGAACAGGCGGCGGAAACCAACATCATCGAGGCCGGTTTGAAGGCGGAGATTGCTGAGCTGAGAGCAGACGTGGCGAGGCTGATGGACACTGGTGTTCTGCAGTACTGGCCTGAAGGTACGTTCGCGCTTCTCTCGCCTCAAACGGGGTGCCCCAACAACGTAGGCGCAATTTGGGCTGTCGGGTTTAGGAAGTTTCACACGGAGTCAACGGACAGAAATTACGACCAGGTGACGACCAACTCACACCTAAAAACACCGATTCTTGAGCGGGTCGGCACGAACAACTTTATGTACCAGCATTTCTGTGTGTCGTCCACCCTCTCCCCGGGCGCCGCCTGGCCGAGGGGCTCCTACTGTATCAACCGCAAGGGAGACCACTGCCCGAGTGGCTTCGACACGGGCTCCATCTCCTGGAACGAAGAACGAACCGGGTCGGCCGCGACGACGACCGGCGTTCTGCCCGACGGCGTCTTCGCCGCGGCCAGCTCCAAGCTTTTCTACTGCTGCAGGAACGACAGCTCCACCAACGACGCCATCTACCTCCCCAAGGCGCGACCGTTTTACTTGTACAGATTCCAGGGAGCCTGTCAGCAAGTGGCCGGTATGAAAGTGACTCCGGAGTTCATGCAGTTCGACACGGACACCACCAACACGGACGCGTATGACAACGACTACCACCCCGACGGCCACATCAACGACGTCAGGATCGAGCTGTGCTACTACGAGGAGCGCATCTAGCCGTGCGCAGCTGTTTTTTGGGTATCCCGTAACCATGGCAACAACAAAGTGACTATTGATGATGAGTGTGTGTGGTTTTTTTTTTAGTTAGTTTTTTTGTGTGGTTTGTTTATTGTAACGTTTATCTCTTCCATTGTTGAGCTGATTGCACTCAATAACAATCTTCTAGATGATTTTTTAAATAGCCTGCATGCATTCAATGTTCTGTCTGCATGTATTGACATATTATACAGAATAATTTACAATCTCTTCAATAAATGTGTCCTTCATTTTGTTGCTTGCATTATTTACGTCGTGTATGATATATACGTGTGCGATTAAGTCTTTTTTAAAACATTGTGGGCTGGTTTGGAACCAAATAATGTGTGTGGAGGTTAAGTTTAAAAAAAGTCGATGACCACAAAATTAATATATAAATATGTTAAATATTTTTGTTTATGTTTTAAAAACAAAGGTCCCTTCTTTTGCTTTAGATTAGTAATGCCCCTGGGGCTATGTCTAGGTTATGACTATATATTTCCCAATTAAGTACTGTAAATTAATCTCACTCCACACTCACTCTCTAACATCCAATGACACTCACTAGCTCTCACTTCTATTAATACTATAACTATACTTATAAAACAAAGGTGGTTCAGCCCGCAAATAAATATTTAAATTTATAAAAGAATTATCTACATGCACATTACATATACTATAAAGACTATACACATATAAAGGATAACGAGATATACTGCCCAATAGTATTAATAATTATGTTCCGTCTGGCGATCTCGTCCACTAGGCATTTCCAACACGCACACACACACACAGGAGCCCCCCCCCCTCTCTCTCTCTCTCTCTCTCTCTCTCTCTCTCGCTTTCTCTATGGTCACTGCGGGCGTCTCGGTGGCGTAACTGGTTTCCGGTCAACTGCACCGCGGGCGTCTCGGTGGCGTAACTGGTCTCCGGTCAACCGCACTGCGGGCGTCTCGGTGGCGTAACTGGTCTCCGGTCAACCGCACTGCGGGCGTCTCGGTGGCGTTACTGGTCTCCGATCATCCGCACTGCGGGCGTCTCGGTGGCGTCACTGGTCTCCGGTCATCCGCACTGCGGGCGTCTCGGTGGCGTAACTGGTCTCCGGTCAACCGCACCGCGGGCGTCTCGGTGGCGTAAGTGGTCTCCGGTCAGCCGCGCTGCGGGCGTCTCGGGGGCGTAACTGGTCTCCGGTCAACCGCACTGCGGGCGTCTCGGTGGCGTAACTGGTCTCCGGTCAACCGCACTGCGGGCGTCTCGGTGGCGTAACTGGTCTCCGGTCAACCACGCTGTGGGCGTCTCGTTGGCGTAACTGGTCTCCGGTCAACCGCACTGTGACGTCCTAGGTGAAGACTCTGATACCGGTGGGTGCACACAGACATACACGGACACACACAGACATACAGACACACACAGACACACACAGACATACAGACACACACAGACACACACAGACACACACACGACCCTCTCTCTGGTCACTGGTCACTGGTCACTCCGCCGTCTCTGTTTACCTAATAGGCCTAATGACTCCTTGTACTTGTACTGAGTGGTCTATATTTTACGGTATACTATACCGACTGTACTAAGTTCTACTGTACTGAACTGTACTCAGCTCAACTGTACTGACTCTAAATTAGCTCACTATACTGAGACTAAAGTCAACTGTACTAATTGCACTAGCTCAAGCTAACTCAAACTGTACCGGTACTAACTCAGACTAACGAACTACTTCACTGTTACTAACTGAACTATAACTTACTGGCTAGAAATGTGAATAACAAATGCAACGCATAAGACATATGTAAAAAATTAAAATCACATAACATAATTAATAATCAATCATACTCTAACAGTAACTGTAGTCCTAATATTTTCTTAATAAAACTACAACTACAATTTTACATACCGGTACACATGAATATGAAAATTGACAATACTAACCCAAAACAATCTGAATAAACAATTTTTATCAACTAATTATGCCAGCCAGGCTCCACTGACAGACTTGAGGTGAAAGAGGGGAATAAATGATTAAGCCCTTCAATATATACTCTAAGTTTGGCGTCCTGTTCCGCTTTCAAGCGTCATATTCAAGCGTCGCGTTGAGCGTCGCATCTGACGCTCTGGCTAGACGCTGGTCATGGTCAAGGTGACCAGGTTCATTTCCATTGTTCATTGAGTCATTGTGAATAGAGAAAGGCCCAGCCTGATTGCGTAATGTCAAGTGGCGTAGCGATGGAGAGAGTGTGAGGCAGCGGATGGAATCATGTGTGTTTATTTGTCAGAAGAATGGTGGATAGATTAGACTATTACTGGTACAGGACGAATGGCGGACAGATTAGACTAGATTTGTACAGGAAGATTGAGGGACAGATTAGACTTTAGACCAATAGCTTTACGGGAAGTGTGGTGGACAGATTATACTATTACTTGTACATGGTGTGAACGGTTGACACATTAGCCAATGACTTAGACCGTCTAAAAAGTGAGGAGTCACCAAACAACGGATTGCCTTGCAGTCCGCGCATTGATCTCTTGACAAAATTAGGATTATGGGAAATAAAATCGCAGTCTTGGGATTCCAAAGATGCAAAAATGAGAATGTGAATGTTAATACAAATGTGAATATAAATCTGAATGTTAATGTAAATGTTAATCCGGATGTGAATGTTACTGTTAATGGGAATGTGGATGCGGGTGTGAATGTACTTGTGAATTGCTGTAGACTAAATATTAGAAACTTTAATTGTACACTGAAATTTGTGTTAGCAGAACTGTTAAACAAATATCGTTTGACTTCATTTTCTCGATCAACTTAATCTACTTATTAATTTAACCAACTTAATCAACTTTCTCAAATTAATCAACTGAAGTAATTTAATCAACTTAATCAACTTATTCAACACACTTAACTCAAGCAATTTATTCAGCTTACTCAATTTAATCAACTTAATCAATTTCATGAAGTTGTGCAAAATATTTTTTTAAAACATTTATTACTCATTATATTCCAAATATAATGTCAAATTTATGAGAAGAACCATTCCCAACAGAGTGCACCGAGTCCAGCCTCATTAAGCTGAAAATCAATATATGTGTTTGACCTGCTGTCCAACTTTGACATTTGTGGCGAGAGATGAAGGGTTTAACTGTGCGATATGGGACCGCCGCACAATGATACAGAACTTAATCACATCGTTGGCAGTAGCGATGAGATCTCAAATAGTTGACCTGATGTTTCAAACTAGTCTAGGCCATGGCTCTCCCAGCACCCGTGTACTGTCGATAATTTTAGAAATGTGTGTGCCGACAAAATATTTCACTCGAGGAGTCGTAATCTATCACCTTTTCCAAAACTAAATTTCGCCATCAATCTTCGTTCTTGTTTTGAAACAATCTATAAAGGGAGTCAATTCAAATTTCGTCCACGTCGAGAGTTCATGTTCGTTTTAATCTCAGCAGCCCAATCGTTAGTCTGTTTTTGTGTTGTTGTTTTTTTTTTATTCAGGGCGTAACACTCTGATATTACTAAGTTTACACAAGTGATGGGGGTAGCAGTTCAGTGGGTAATATGTAGGGAATGTGAAACAATTCATGGATGAACCAAATTCACTTTAAGAAATTTTATTGCTAATTAAATTTCGACTTTAAAACTTCAACATTGTACCGGATTCCCAAGCGGATTTAAGGCGGACTTCGAATTAAATGGATCCTTGGCTGGAAACTCCGTCAACATAAGAATACACGATCCCTAAAAACAGTCTAAGGTCAACATATCAATGTCCGAACCCTGACCATTGTCCGAGGTCAAAATAGCAATACCTGATCCATGACAACTGTCAAAGGCCACGATTGCAATGCCTGATCCACGACCACTGTCCAAGGTAAAAAAATCAATACCTTATCCATGACAACTGTCAGAGGCCAACATACCAATGCCTGATCCATGACAACCATAAGGTCAGATCGTCTTGCATTTAAACAACTGTTATAATCAGCAATCGTGTATATTTACTAGATAAAGGATTGGTCAATGTATGTTTTTCACAAAGGCAATAAAAGCTGTGACAATATTACACATCTCAGCTTCATGCAACTGTCTATATCAAAATACATTAAATATAAATAATGAATAACAGTTTTATTGTTTTTTGATCGGTTTATTTTGTTAACAGTGTGTTCTATTCCTGCAAATGTAAAAAAAAAAATGTGTGATTTTACGGACTCGTCAAACGCGAACAATTCTCCGGAGTTCGCCGACGACTATTTCTACCACGAGATCGATGGCGGGCTCAAAGACCTGGAATACGCCCTGACCACCATCACCATGCCGGCGGTCTCCGTGCTCGGCGTCGTCGGCAACGTCCTCAGCTTTCTCGTCGTCCGGCGCCACGGGCTCGACAAGAGCTGCAACCTTCTCATCCTGGCGCTGGCCGTCGGCGACACGATGCTCCTGCTGGGCATCAATAACGTTGCGCTTAAGATCTACACGAACGATTTCAGATTTCCCTATTCAAGACTCACCTCGTGGTCCCTGTTCGTTCTCTACAACGTCCAGAGGTGCGTGTATGTGATCGGACGCGCCTTGTCCACACTTTTGCCGATGTTGATAACGCTGGAGCGCTTCGTGGCCATCTTCTTCCCGTTGAAGTTCTCGCGGATCATAAGCCCGTTCCGGACGAAGGTGGCCGTGGGAGTTCTTTTCACGGCCTCCGTTCCGTTCTCTGTGTACTTCACGCTGTTGACCAGATTTGTTTACCAAGCGGGTTCCGTTGCCAACTGCAGCCGGGGGAGAATCTTCAAATCCCCAACGCTGCTGAGCAAAGGTGAAGACTACACTGTCATGGTGAACACGTACGTGTTTTTAACCGGGACGATTCCGGTAGTTTTCGTTCTCGCTGGCTGTTTCGTCATAGCTATCAAGCTCCGAACTTTGGCGACTCGGCGTAAGCGGCTGACGAATACGACGTCACAGCCGAAACCTTTCAAGAAGACGGAAGGTCGATTCACGGGAAGTGCTGCTCCAATCAGACATCAGGATTACGATGTTGAGTTCGAAAACACATGGCAATGTTTAAAGTTAATCTCTAAGTTCGTTGATAAAATGTGCGAATTCAGAGTGAAATCGAGAATTCCGAATGAAGAAGAAGCCGGGGAGAACTTGAAAAGGGGGCAAAACCAACACAGGACCACCTTGACTTTGCTCTCCGTCTGCCTGCTCTACTCGGTCGTCTACACCTTCAAAACTGCGAT